TTGGCTGGTTGCAGGACAGAGCTGCTGGTGCGAGGAGCTGCTAGCAGGCGTCATAGCTGAGGGAGCACTGAACACAGGCAGCTGTAAATGCAGACAAGAACAAGTGATGTCAGTGCCAGTTCCACTAGCCATCTTTAACAGCCTAGTTAGAAAGCACAGCTTGCTACTACTGCTGTCAAAAATTGATTGCTTTTGCAGTGTATGCAAGAACTACTTGCATCCCAGCCTACTGGTGTGCAATGCACACCATCTTCTGTGTCATGTCTGGCTTTGATCTAGGAATGGGTCCTGACAGCCCTTACTGATGTACAATTTATTTGACATCCAAGATGTGTCACCTATGTGCCTGTGGGCAGGAACAAGTTCCTAGACTTTGAAATAAACACATTTGAGGGTGTAGGAAGAATACACATAACTGAACACAGATAGTGTTGCTTTGGATTGAGAAACGAACCAGGGGGCATGAAGGCAAGCTGAACTTCTGCAGCACCTTAATTTTAGTTTGGCATCTCATGAACTTTACACACCCCAGGGAAGATGCTCCAGGATCCAAGGGACAAGGATCAGGGAATGTCTAGGGATCTGTGCACCAGAAAAGGGAGGATGGCTGATGGGTGGTATCTGTGAGTGGATATGTGCTAATGTGGCAGATGAAATTTAGTGATGACAAATGCAAAATAATGCATGCAGGGAAAACGAACTGTAATCATGCATTTACATTGATAGGTCCTAATTGCTCTATTATCGCTCACAGAAGAGCTCTTCGAGTCATTGTAGAGAGTTGTCGGAAACAGCAGCGTGGTGCTCAACTGGAGGAGAAATTTGAGGAGATTTGCAAATTGAATATTATGAATGGGTAGGAAAAAATCAGAAAGTAGAAGTTTTAAACAATCATTGTATCAGTCCAGATCTATGGCATGCCTACATCATACATGCTGAATGCAATCAGGTTACGCCATCTCAGAAGGCTGTAGGTGGCCTAGAAAAGGTACAAAGATGTATGCAACAGCTTCTGTATGTGAAGAGAGGAAATAGAGTAGGACTCTTCATTTTGGTGTAGGGATGGATGAGACAGAAGCCTATAAAATCATGCACAGTATGCAGAAGGTGAATAGGGGATGAATGTTCACTATGCCTCGTTATCAAAGAGCTAAAGGGAAACAAATGAGATGGCTTTTAATTTTCTACTGGCTAAATAAAAAGAATTCCAATGACTTCTAGGATCTGAGGTGGAAGACACCTGGGCTTTCTTTAAGATACTAAAACTGGCAGTAGCATGTGACCCAAGCAAAGGAGAAGAAAAGACCCCCAGGACCTAAGTGGATAAAAAAATCACCTCAAGAAATTAATTAGGAGTATATAGAGAGTCTATAAGTATTAGGAAGATCAGATCAATAAAGACTGCTTCGTCTTAGAGGCTAGTATGGGAGTAGTGTGAGAATTGACCTCAAGGAGGCTGGAGGAAAGACCTGTAGGTACTTCATCTATAGAAGCTACAAAGGAAAGATAGAGGAAGTGGACTTCTGTGCACTGTTACTGGAGTTGAGATAATTTAGGTATAATCCTTAAAAATAACTGATAACTTAAAAGTAGTGCTTTGCTGCTTTTTCAGCAAGTAGGAGGACATAAGAACAGATATGAAGGCTGAGACCGGGGTCTGTCCAGCTTCAAGTGGACTCCAGCAAATGCCCAGAACAGAGGAGGAACAGGGCAGGTGATATACCTGCCTGATCCCTGATATTTCCCAGCCTTCACATGCTCCACTTTAATGAATGTGGGAATAGATGATAGACAGACCTGTAAGACTGAGAGCATAAAAACGGGAAGTCTCAACAGATGAAGAGGAAGCATGACTGTGGTTGAAATGACTGGGTGGTCTGGATATGAGAACTATAGGAATGTGATGAAATTCAGTAATACAAGATGCAGACATGTAACTATGGATTTGTAACAGATTGTTTGTCTCTCAACCAGGAGCACATTGCCAGTAACCAGTGAGGAGCACTTGAGTCTATTTGTTCAGGCTTTGCCCTATACGTGGTGTAGCCCTAAGAAAGGCAGATGTGGTCATCATGATATCAAGAGTTGGCTTTTCAGCAAGGCTAAGGGAAAATCAACACACGCTGAGATCAGCAAAAGGCACTGGGGAAACCTCTGCAGCTTTGTGAGTAGGATGGTGGTTCATGTTCATGAATGAGTAACTCAACTGGAACAGATTTAGGGACAGCTCTGAGCTTGAATGAGTCAAAGAAGATCTGCAGCCTCTCTTTCTGCTCCTGGAAGGAGTCAGACTGCCCAGAAGGCAGTTTTCACTGATTCCAAGGGGCAGATTTCTCAAGGCAGGAAGACCATCAGAGGTATTGCAGGTGACTCTTAGTTCTTTGGTTCATCCGAATAATCATAAATGATTGGGATGAGATGGTGTGTAAGCAGGTTGCACAGTTTCTCAGTAATACAGTAATGATGGAGATTCTCTGTAAAGAATTGTAAAAGTTATAGCAAGTGATGGAGGTATGAAATGCCAGGTAGATAAATGTGAAGTAATGTATATGGGAAAAATTAGTTTTTACTTTACATGCCCTGTAAGTGATGCTGAGCTAGTTTCTGTCATTCAGGAATGAAATGATGGATTTAAGAGTTTTGAGAGTATGTGAACTCTGTGCTCCCAGAGGCAAAAAACCCTCAACAAACCCCAAACTCAAGCAGAAATTGAATGTTAGGGTTTATTAGGAAAAGAAGAGAGAAGAAAATAGAGAAGAATCACAATCTCACTATATAAATACGTTCTAAATAAATCTTGAATGTGCAGTGTACCTCCACCCCCTCTGCTGTACCTCAAAGGATGTAGTAGAATGGGAAATGGTGCAGAGAAGGTAACAATAAAAAGAAACCAGATAATAAAGATTACATCATTCAGTGAAGATAAAGATTGCAAGGACAATCATAAGGCTTCTTCTGTGTGAGAAATTATTGAATAGGCTAAAGCTCTTCGACCTCAAAAGGAGACAGCAGAGAGGGTATCAAGGGCTTGAAATCATGAGTGGTATGGAGAATGTGACGCGAGCATGATTTTTCACTGTTTTTCCACTATGTGAGCAGGTTTTAGCAATTGAAAAGGTCAAGCAGCACATCAAAGGATGTACTTTTTTTACAGAAAGCATAGCTAAACTCTGTATTTCCTGTCCACAGGATGCTGTAGATGCCAAAAGGTTGGTTGGTATCCATGGCAGCTTAGCTTAGTCATGAAGGAAAAAATCATTAGTGGCTATTAAGCACAGAGATATAAGCTCTGTTTCAGTAGGTCCTTAAACCTCCAGTTGTGGGAAGCTGGGAGATTATGTCAAGAAGTATTACCAGGTGCTCATTTGTATAGTCTTCCCAAGTCATCTGCTAAGAGCTGCTGTCAGCAGACAAGGTGCCAAAGGAGGTCGACCTTGGGTCTGGCGGGGTAGAGCTGTTCCTGTGGCTGTGTATTTCAGAGGGGAACTAGATCAACTTCTTTTGCTTAGCCAAGCAGAGCACATTCCCTAGAAAATACTGGCTGTTTATAAAAACATCTGGAGGAACACGTGAGGGTGAAAGGAGAGCTGTTTGAGCTAGAGGACAGTGTCTGCACGAGAACTGATGGCATGAACTGGCCAGGAGTAAATTTGTGTTGGAAATCAGAAGGTGGCTGCTAGCTCTCAGAAAGTAGCAAGATTCTGCTAGAAATAGGACTTGGTGAAGTTGGAATGCATGACAGTGAAATTCAGTGAGGAATTCAGTGCCTTCCCATCCTGGGGACCTGCGTTCTGCATATCGGTTTAAGATGGCAAAATAACCCAGTTTAGGGGAATGAGTTATTCAAGGTGTTTGTAAGGCTTATCGCAGGGATTTGTGTTAGAGCTGGTCATATTTAACATTTAACAGTAACCTGGAAGAAGGAGACAGTGTCGTATTAGTCACATTTGCAGCACCGCTTATTTGGGGAGGTTTGCAAAAGACAAGGATATAGAGGAATTTTTTAAAAAAAGAGAAATATGAGAAACAACCCCAGGCTCATGTGGACTGTACACTGAAGAAAAATATAAAGTGCTGCTTGGCCCTGGTAACAGAGACCTGTGAGTAGAGGGGATTTGATCATGAGTGTTTCCAGAGCACCTTGACGACAGGAGAGTGACTGTGAATTTGACCATAAGCTTTGGCATTCTTGATTTCAAATCCATCAGGTTGACATAAAACCATTTTGGGTTCTTCTGGCTTATGAACCTGAGGGTGCATTGCATTCATATTTCCAAGCTCTGTTTCTAAGTTACTACAGCTAAAGTTTTCTTCATTAAAAAAAGGGGGTGGTGGTAGTGTTAGGCTATCTCTTATAATCACAAGACTTCAGGAATGAGGGACCAATGGTACCCCAAAAAGTACCAATGGTCAAAGTTGTCCGTGCATGTAGAGATAACTTATTTTACAAGGAGGTGCTGTATCCTGCTCAAAGCTGCTAAGTCCTCAATTGTTTGTGCATTGGATGCTCATGAAAAATGTCCACAAGGAAGTGTTTTCTGGACAGAGCCTTAAGGGAAATGTAGACCCAAGGGAATTGTGATCAAAATCCCATCTGCTGGGTAGTAATAAATTGTGTGAAATAGCTGAAGGTTATGGCTGTTGGAGAGGAGTGCTCTGTGTGAGAGAGGGTGTAACGAGGTGTGAATCTGTGGCATTAAGGCCATTAATAGCTGATGGGCTGCCTCAGAAATCCTTATGCAGATATCTTTATGTGAATTCCTGCTACCCTTGATGATTTTAGAGGAGTTGTGGAGCATATAGCTGAGATTTGACTGAAGGACCAGTCTCACTGAACGGGACACTGAGATTAGCAAAGTAACGGATGAATATTTCACAACCCCAGGTTTTCAACTTTAGCAAATGGCAGTTGAGTTCGGGGACAAGGTATGGACATGGCCAGATCCTGAGATATTGCTTAAAGAACCTCTGTAATGATCAATTTGATTTGGGAATTGTAGGTTGGGGGACTCGCCTCCGAGAACGTGAGATGGGCTGAAGCTGTGAAGAGCTTCAAACAGCAACAGAGCACCTTGTGTGGAGATGTCTTGCTGATTACGGCCTTTGTATCCTACCTGGGCTACTTCACTAAGAAATACCGTCTAATGCTTCTGGATGGAATTTGGAAGCCATATTTGCACCAGCTAAAAGTAAGCCCTGCTTTCTCTAAAAACAGCTGTTACTGGAATTAACATGGCCATAAATTCTGATGTCCACAGGGGATTCTCCAAGTGAGAAGATTCCCCCAAATGAGGGGCATCCCTGTGTCCCCACAGAGCTGGACTGAGGAGCAGGACATAGCCACACTTGATTTACTCCTCTCTGGGGAGATGTTGTGGTATCCTCGCTCCAAGTGACCCAGTTCCTCCGTGTGCAGAGGGAAATCCCCGATGCAGCGATCCAAACATGGAGCCCAGTGCCAGTGCTGTGCAGTTTTAACCAGGAGTCAGGGATGGCCTAGAAGGAGGGAGATAGTACGGAAAAGGCATTGCTTGGAGCAGACAGAACACTGCCAGCTCTCCAGTAGGCTTGGAAAAACTCCAGATGGTTCTTCATGCTGGACACAAGCTCTATTCATGCTGGCCATGCCTCTCAGCTGGTTTCACCCATGTCTTGCTGTTCGGACCAGATGGTGACTGTCTTGCTTCAAACTTGCTTAGTAATTCACTGATTTTTACCAGGTCCTCTCATACATTAGTAAATGCAAGTGCTTAGTCTCCTGCAGGATTGAACGTTGCACATCAGTACAGTAACTGGATGTTATAACTCCTGGTGAAATGCCAAGAACCTTTTAAATAAGGTCACAACTGGGCAGTGATGCCCAAATCAAAATGCTGGGAAAATCAGCAAGTTCCTTAGGATGAGAGAGAGAAAAAACCCCCAACATTCTGCATTTCTTAATACAAAGCCAAGAATTTAGTTAAGAAAGGCAATATTATTCCAAAAATGGCCTGACTCTGTGCTTAGAAATTTCAAGGAAGTGCCTGTATTTCTAATGGAAAATTAAATGCCCATTCTGCTCAGATAACTGGCACAGATCACTTTCTGGTTGTCACACTCAGAAATGGCCTGCCATGTCAGAGGAGTGTTTCTGGAACTGCTAATGCTGTTTCGCAACACAACAGCAGGCTTACAAGGGTGTTAATTATATTCTTCCAAGCTGTCATCTTGGAGAGCTTGTACACAGCAGTGTGTGATCTGAACCTGCTTGGCTGGGCTGTGGCCGTTCGGTGCTTAGGACTGCAGGCAAAATTCTTTGAGATGCCTGCATAATTTCTGTTAATTCATAAACAGGATTGAAAAACACTTAATACTAGATCAAAACTATCCTGTAGAATGGGAAACCACTGATAAATATGACTTAGCAGTTTTTAATCAAGCTAACTTTTCTTGAAATATTTTCCTTGCTTGTCCCTGATGTAGGTCACAAGTTACACTCATTGTCTTTTGCTGCCACATTAGGAAGCATTTCTCCTTTCCTCCCAGGTGCCAATCCCTGTAACTCCGTCCCTCGATCCTCTGACCATGCTGACAGATGATGCTGATGTAGCAGCTTGGCAGAACGAGGGCCTGCCAGCTGATCGGATGTCCACCGAAAATGCCACCATCCTCACCAACTGCGAGCGCTGGCCCCTCATGGTGGATCCCCAGCTGCAGGGTATCAAATGGATCAAAACAAAGTATGGCGAAGACCTCCGAGTGATCCGAATCGGGCAGAAGGGGTAAACATCGGCCTCATCACATAATACCTTTTAATGGTTATCTGCCTGTCATATTTGATGAACAGCGTATATTTAACTGCAACCATCTGAGCCAATTACATTGAGGAAAACCCTCAAATGTATTTGTGCATTAGCTGCTTATTCATTACCAAAATGATAGAGATTTCTCATTAAATTGAGGGTCTGTTTAGTGCTTGGCTCAGTTACCATAGAAACTCCTCTGAAGCTGAGAATGGAGAGAGCTATGAGCTGGAGGCTGAGATACAAGTAGGACTACGGCATCCTCCATCAGGCTCATCTTATGTGTCATGTCCTGACTCAGTTTCACTCAGGAGGGTGAGTAGGGCTTCCTACATGTTGGAGGAGGAGAGAGGGCCTGGGCAGAGAAGGTGAAGCTGCCATGAGGGTCACCATGCCCTGCAGACCAGCTGGCACTAGCTAGAGGTTCTCATTGCAGCACCCCTGCATTGATCTGGCTAAATCTTTTATGGGAAGGCTTTTATCCTGGCTCTTACCTCCAGTCAGCGCACAGACAGGTCTTCTGCTACCTCAGTTTGCAGCTATTTCTACCCATTAGTGAGGAGTCCCAGCTGGGATGGAGCAGACCCAGAGTCAAATCCCTGCTTGGGTGTGAGCCCTGGGGTAATTTTTTTTTTAATACAGAACAAAGCATTGGCAACAGGTGACAGTGACCCAAGCTTGGTGCTTGCAAATTCATGCAGTTTTGGAGATGTCTTGCGGTTGCCCAGGTAGTTTTGCTGGTGCTTCCTCTTCTTTACTCATAGAAAATAACAAGAAGTTATTAGATTTGTTCTCGTGTGGGATGAAAATACAGCTCATTTTACATTAGAGCAAATTTCTGTTTCCTGCCCAACCTGGTCACCATGCCTTGCAATTACTCAAAGCAATCTGGGGAAAAGTAAGGATCCTAGAGGAGGCACCTAAATACAAACCTCCAGGATGGAACAAGATGAATAGACCCTGTAACATCCATATCATAGAATCATAGAATTGTTTAGGTTGGAAAAGACCTTTAAGATCATCAAGTCCAACCATTAACATAGCACCAAGTCCATGTCCCTAAGAACCACATCTACACGTCTTTTAAATACCTCCAGGGGTGGTGACTCCACCACTTCCCTGGGCAGCCTGGTCCAGTGCTTGACAACCCTTTCAGTGCAGACATTTTTCCTAATATCCAATATAAACCTTTCCTGGCACAAGGAGGGTTTCCTCATGTCCTGTCACTTGTCACTTGGGAGAAGAGACCGACCCCACCTGGCTACACCCTCCTTTCAGGTAGTTGTAGAGAGTGAGCAGGGCTCCCCTCAGCCTCCTGTTCTCCAGGCTCAACACCCCCAGTTCCCTCAGCCGCTCCCATCAGACTTGTGCTCCAGACCCTTCCCCGCTTCGTTGCCCTTCTCTGCACACTCCAGCACCTCAATGTCCTTCTTGTAGTGAGGGACCCAAAACTGAACCCAGCACTCGAGGTGCGGCCTCACCAGTGCCAAGTAGAGGGGACCAGTCACTGCACTGCTCCTGCTGGCCACACCGTTGCTGATACAAACCAGGATGCTGTTGGCCTTCTTGGCCACTTGGGCACACTGCTGGCTCATGTTCAGCTGGTTGTCACCCAGCACCCCCAGGTCCTTTTCCACCAGGCAGCTTTCCAGCCACTCTTCCCCAATCCTGTAGCATTGCCTGGGGTTGTTGTGACCCAGGTGCAGGATCCAGCACTGAGCCTTGTTGAACCTCATACAGTTGCCTCGGCCCATCGATCCATCCAGATCCCTCTGCAGAGCCTTCCTAGCCTGGAGCAGATCAACATTCCTGCCCAGCTTGGTGTCAGCTACAAACTTACTGAGTGTGCACTCGATCCCCTCATCCAGATCATTGATAAAGATATTAAAGAAAATGAGCCCCACTACTGAGCCCTGGGGAACACCATTTGTGACCGGCTGCCAACTGGATGTAAGTCCATTCACCACAACTCTTTGGGCCTGGCCATCCATCTAGTGTTTTACCCAATGAAGCTTATGCTCGTCTGAGCCATGAGCAGCCAGTTTCTCCAGGAGAATGCTGTGGGAAATGGTGCTAAAGGCTTTACTAGAGTCCAGGTAGACAACGTCCACACATCCTTTCCCTCATCCACTAAGTGGCATAGAAGGATATCAGGTTGCTCCTGCCTTTCATGAACCCATGTTGACTGGGCCTGATTGCCTGGTTGTCCTGTACATGCCACGTGGTGGCACTCGAGATGGTCTGCTGCATCGCCTTGCCTGGCACCGAGGTCAGGCTGACAGGCCTGTGGTTCCCTGGATCCTTCCAGCCCTTCCTGTGGATGGGGCTGTCCAGCTTGCTGTGCACACACAGCATGTCTTTTCCCCTGGCCACGCACCAGGCTGGCAGGCACTCTGAGAGGGGAGTTCAGTGCGTTGCTGTGATGTCTTGGGGCCATTGGCTAAAACAGCATCATTCACTGCCCCACTACAGTAAATAAGGGAGTGTTGCATCATCTGGGAAATGGTGCTGCTTTGCCTCCATCTGCTTTAAGAGGTTTAAACCCACACCCTTGTCTCCTTCAGGAAAGGGCCATTTGAGCAGCTTTGGGGTCAGCTGCTGCCATTCTCTCTGACTATTTCTTTGTATAAAATATTCCCGGACTCAGAAAGATGGAGGCTGCTGATCAAGGATGAGCTTTGCATTGTGTCAACATATTCCTTTAAAGGTTGGGCCTAAAGGTCACTCCAAACTTCTTGTCTTAGATCTTTCTGTCACCTCTTGAGGTCCTAAACTCTCTAGCTTAGATGAGGAACCTAAATTTTAGCCAGTGGAGGTAGTTGGAGTGATCCAGTGCACCAATGATGGTGTAACAGCACCTGGAGCATCCTCACCACCTGCCCAGCCCCCTTCTCTCCTCTTTGCAGAAAAGTCAGTTGCATGAAGTGCCGAGCAGCCCTGAAGGACAAAGCCCAAGCGCTTGACCCTGCCCCTCCTGGTACAAAGCATTCCCAATGCAGAGCGTCCCCGTTCCACAGTTAGGCAGTGGGCAAAGGGGTCCAATTCCCTTGTGAGGAAAAAAGCTGTCCTAAATGTGACCCTAAACTCTGGGCAAAATGGAGCTGAAACCTGCTCTTCTTCCTTGCTTTTACGCAAGATTAACTGCACCAGTTAGTTCTGGGAGAAACAAAGTACTTGCTTTAAAAAACCCCAGGGTGTCCCATCGTTGTTCACGGCTGCTCATGCTCTTTTCTTGGGAAAGAAGGCACGGTTATTATTACCTGCTCTTGGGAGGCCTGAGACCTGATTCTCTTTGTTGGGCAACCAAGACTGTGCCAGTGCCCCTTTCAGCACCATGTGTTGACACCATCTGCCCCCTCTTTCGCAACTGCTGGCCTGCGTATGTAGCTGCCACCGCAGTGTGGAGCACCCGTCTGTCCCCCTCGCATCCTCCTTGCTGCAAAGCATCACATCTAGCCTCACTGCGATGGGTACCAATGCTTTCCCACAGGTATTTGGACATGATGGAACGAGCCCTGGCTGCAGGAGAATTGGTTTTGATTGAAAACCTGGAGGAATCTGTGGATCCAGTTTTGGGGCCGTTACTGGGGCGAGAAACAACCAAGAAAGGAAGGTGAGCTCCGGGGAAGTTTAATGGCATGTGGGGATGGGTTCTTTGTGCTGTTGTGCTTTCTGTTCCTGAGCTCAAATTGTGCGTGTTCATATACAGCAGCACTAACATCCTGCCTTCGGAAGTGAGGGCATTTTAAATCAGGCAATCACAGGTAATTCAGTGATAGGATGGCTCTGAAATAAACCTAGATTTTTCATTTTGTTGGACAGTGTCATTCAAACCTCATGTAAAAGAGAGACCTGTAATTCTCCTTTTGTATAGTGACCTTGGTGGCTGTAATTGGCTATCTTGACACTGAATTATTACCAAAATAGCTATTGCTGTCGTAAAGAAAAAGTAACCTTGAATTTTAGCAAACACTGCGCACCACTTAGGAATACAGCTGCAGGTTTAAGCATTGAGAATATGTAAGTGTTTCTTAATGAGGTCAAGTTCTGCATGGCAGCTGCTGGTCACCCTCCAGCCAAGAGGGCAGGTCACCCTGCCAGCAAGAGGAGCAGCAAGGGAGTTCACTTTTTCTTTCTGTATGTATGTAAAGTAAAGTAAACATAGTTTTAGTGTGTACTCAAATAACGGCAACAATTAAAACCTCGTGCTCAGTGCTGAACTTGATTCAGGGACTTTCTTGATGTTGTTTTGCTGGCTTTCGCAGTGTGGAGTCGTCTGCCTTTAGAAGGATGCGCATTGTTCGCAGGAGCCCGGCACGGGCTGAGCTCTGTGCCTGCTGCACTGCCTCGCCGTGCAGTCCTGCTCTTGGCTTTGTGCTGTAAATAACAAACAGCCTGTTAAGCTCTGCCTTTTGCATTCCTTAAGTTCTTTGAGGATCATTTCCTTACTTGCCTAAAATATCTTAGGATGATGTAAACTGCTGGGAAAGGCAAGCTGTCTGGAAAGTTTGCAGGGGAAAACATCGTGAGAAGGGTGGCTAGTTGTGGGTTCAGCTGCAGGATGGAGGGGAAGGATCATTTCAGAGGGATGACGGTTCTAGTGAAGGGGATTGAAATATTTGAAAGCAGAGATGGGGGTAGAGCAGAGGTGGTGGATCTCCTGACACCCCTGCAGTGAAAAACTGAGTGTGGCTCTGCTCTTAAAACTCCCTGCGAGATCATGTGTTTCCTAAGAAAAGGAAAATAAGTCATAAATCAAATAAAAAGCCCGTGGGTTTCGAGTTTTCCAGAACACGAGCCCAGACCCCTGTCGTGGTTTAACCCCAGCTGGTAACTGAGCACCAGGCAGCCAGTCGCTCCCCCCTGCCCCCCACAAAGTGGATGGGAGGGGAATGGAAAATAACTCGTGGGTTGAGATAAAGACAATTTAATAGGATAATGAAGAAAATTATAACAACCACAACAATAAAACAAGTGATGCACAAATGCAATTGCTCACCACATGCAGAACCGCCCCCCAATGCCCACTCTGTTTCCGAGCAGCGATCCCACCCCCGGCTAGCCTCCCCAGTTATACCCGGAGCATGGTGTGATATGGTGGGGAATATCCCTGTGGCCACTCTGGGTCAGCTGTCCTGGCTGTGGTCTCCCAGCTTCTCCTGCACCTGGCAGGGCCTGAGAAGCTGAAAAGCCCTTGACTTAGTGTAGACACTACAACTACCCACAACAACTAACCCATCAGTGCATACCAACATTATTCTCATACTAAATCCAAAACACAGCACTGTACTCGCTACTAGAAAGAAAATTAACTCTGTCTCAGCCGAAACCAGGACAACCCCACAGATAGATGCTGGTAGTCCCAGAGCAAGATCTTTTGAAGTTGGGGCTCTGGGCTGTATTTCTGGGTGCTGCTATGAGCTGCGTGTACTATGTGATTTCTGTCTGCCTCAGCAGTTCACAGCTGTAAAAGCAATCGAGGTGGCCAGGAGGACACGTAGTGAGCTGATGTTTGACTGGAAGGTGTATTCAAATTCCCGTGATAACATCACTGTTCCCATAACAGTCCAACTGCATCCCTGAAAGCATTTCCAGTTTCTCCTTTCCTCTGTTTTCCATGGGCTTTGTTAAACTTGGATTCAGGGTACATTAATTCCTGGGTTTCTTTTAGACTTGATGTCAGAAATGCAGAACAGGAGAAGGTTGTGTTTCCAGGTGGTGTTACCTCCCTGGAATGGCAACCAGCCGCTCTCAGAATCTGGCTTCACTGCTCAAGCTTGATCTGAGCCAAAAGAGTAGGCAATTTTAGCTGTGGCTAATTAAAATCTCAATGCTGAGAGGCTTTTCCTCCGTGGAATTCCAACTTTAGGTAGAATACAGCCTCTGTAAAAAGCAAGGAGGGTTCATGGTTGAACTGGCTATCCTGCTGCTGGAAACTGTGAGCCTTCTCAAACAGGATCCAAAATTCAGGGGCAACTGTCTGGGGTTTTTATCCTAAATCAGAAGTGGTTGAAATGTGTCCAATTTTAAATGCTTTTCTGCTTTAACAGTGGTTTCTGTGTGAAGAATGCCAAGTCCCATGCTGGTAGATGCCATTGACTGATACCACCATTTGGGTATCTCACCATCTCACCATCTTTGGGTGAGATGTCCTGGAAGACATATGCTCGTGTTTCTTTTGCTCTAATTTCAGGTACATTAAGATCGGGGACAAGGAATGTGACTTCAACCCTGCCTTCCGTCTCATCCTCCACACGAAGCTGGCAAACCCCCATTTCCAACCCGAGCTGCAGGCACAGTGCACCCTCATCAACTTCACCGTCACGCGAGACGGCTTGGAGGACCAGCTGCTCGCGGCAGTGGTCAACATGGAGAGGCCTGACTTGGAGGAGCTCAAGGTCAGTAGCTGGGACTTTACACTGCGAGGCACTACTACTACTACTACTACTACAGAAGAAATAGCATTTCATGTGCAGGAGATTCAAATCAGGAGATTTCCCTTGAATTGATAAACATTGAGGATTTTTTTTTTTATTCAGTCTTTTGTTTTCTTGGTATTTTGGGAACACTTAAACTGCAATTTCAAGTTTTTTTCTCCAAAAATTTTGATAAGAATCTCTTTCTTTTCCTACTCTTGGAAATGGAAACTGAGATTCTCATTATATGAGTTTTTCTGGACTTTACAGATTTAATTTTGGAGGTAGGATTAATCTCACTTAATTTTAGGCATTTATGGTATAGGATTCCCACTGTAAATATTGTGAAGCTGGTAATAAATTTCTCCTGTTCTGATTTTTCCTCCCACTTGTTTGTAACAGGCCAGAATGTTCTCTCTCTCTCTCTTTTAATAAGTATGGCTTCAGTTTCAAGATATTTTTTTTAAAAAAATCCTTTGTTCTAATGACACATTTAACAGTGTAACGAATATGTATAATACTAAATATTTACTGAGAGTGGAAATAAATTTACTGCACATGTTCAGTCAGGCCAGGCCAGTTTTGTAATAATCTTTTCATTTAATGAGGTTCTAAAGTACGTTAGCTGTGCAGCCTTAATGATGCATTTAGTTTTAAACAGGCTCATGTGCTAACGAGCCAAAAGATGGCATCAAAAATACATAATGAGCTGATTTAATGTGTAATCCATGGCTATCTTGCTGGGACCGTGAGACCCAAAGCTTCTTGATTAGGCACCCCTCGCACACGCTCCGTACTGGGTTGCAAACGCCACCGACAGCCGCGTTCCTGGGCTGGTTTGCACCGAAGGGGGCTGGGGGGGGTGACCGTGATTAGCATGTTGTGTCATTAACTGCTGTTATGTTAAGGACCGTTCCTCTTAGCCTCAGCAGCATCGCTGTTAATGGTTGCTGTCACAATACGAAAGACAAATTCGGTATCATGTGGAGTCAACAAACCTACAATTAAGTTCTGAAAATTAGTAACTCAAAATCAGCAGCACTTCCCTCCCATGCTGTAAAAGAACTGTGTGTCAGAAAACAGTGAAAATTATGTGAATCAGAGATCGCATCTTTTGAAACCCCTGCTTCTTCAGGACGTGCGTGTTGTGGAAGAAGGATGTTGGGCACAGGACCAGGGAAATAAATGGGTCCGCAAGTGCCAACTATGCCACCAGCTGTGGGGGATACAGGGCTGTAGTTTTGCTTCAGAAAGCACTAAGCAGATACAGATTGGTGTGGGATGTAATTTTCTTTTCCTTTAAGAATATTTAAGATCTTTTTCTCTATATCATCACAGCAAGATAATACCAGAGTCCACTATCTCTCCTCGCCCTCTCATCTGCTTCCCTCCTGCTACAGTCTTGCTGCCCCAGCAGATATCAGGGAGGAGAAAACCAGCCTGGTATTCGAGATGTTCTGCTGGATGGGGAACAGTCAGCCAAAAAAACCAGCACTTCCCTGCTGGGATAAAAGCAGAGACTTGCCTCCTTACACATGGTAAGGGGGGCTGGCACCAGCTGCAGGTGCACTGACCGCAGCGAGTGACTGCTGGCCAGGGCTTAGTATCTTCTTCTGCCCCTAGTCTATCCACTGACATGGAAAAAGCCACTAAGGTTGTTGTCTGATAGCTGGGGAGGCTCCTTGAAGACACAGATTTAAGTCTGAGAAGGAGATGTCGCTTTTTAGGTGTGCTTTAATCCATCCTCTCTACCCTGGGACAAAAGGGACAGGCGTTTGGTGTCTGGGGAAGGTTTAGAGCTCTGGCTCCTGGGCAGATGGAGGTGACTCCTACAGTAGTGTGTAGTAGGTACTCCGCTCAAAATCTTGTTATGGGTGAAGATGGAGCACACCTGATATGCCCAGAACTTGTTAGTGTTATGAACAACTTAATAACCTAACCAGAATTCATCAAACATCTATTATTAGTCCAATTTCAGTAATGTTAACAGGTTTTATATGTTTTCTCAACACAGTCTGTTTCAATAATATTTTTCTTCATTGGTTCCCAGTTATTCAGTCTTTCTGTTCCTTCCTATCTTTGAAGCTATCTTGATCTGATTCACAGGATTGCACTCCTGTTACAAAGGGTGTTCAGAGTCCACGACCACATTTACACTTTACCGTATTTTGGTTCTAGAGACAGATCAGTCTGCCCACAATAACTACTTGCTCTGACTCTAAATTAAAGCCATGCTAAACGAGGTTAAGGCAGTAGTGACGTGCCTGTGAGACAGTCACAGTTAAGAGGAGATGAAACCAGTTTAGGCCAAGGCAAGCAAAGCCAAGTCCTGAGACCTTCCCTCTCAGGTCAGTACAAACCCTCTGGCCTTTAGTCTCATTTGCAGTTTCCTTTTGCATGGTTGACTGTGGTCCATGTGCTGGTGGCACTGCCTGTGGTCCACGTCGTCTTACCAGGGCTGGTTTCAAGTATCTTCCCCTTCACCAGACTTAACTGTTTGGACTGAAATATCTCAAATGGCATTTGCCTCCAATTCATTGTCTGTTTAGTGCTGAGAACTGCCTTAGGAAGAATATTTTTGCAGCTGCATCCCAAGCTATACGTGGGTAAGCCATGAGTTGAGGTCCTGCCTTGCTGATTCGGGAGATAAAGTGTGCATGAAAGTCCCTGCACATTTGGGCTGTGATGGACAGTGCTGAGGGTCTTCAGGAATGAGGGTGCTCTGCAGGAGTGGACTGAAAATACAGAGGTTTTTTTTCTCTGTTTTGTGATGTTAAAATAATACAGTAAAACTAGCAGAAAGGACAAGGAGAGGAAGGTGGCTACTGTGGCTGAGCTAGAAAGGGGTTGGCAGTGAAACCTGCAAAACTGGCCTGTAGCTTTGTAGAACTTATTCTTTTTTTTTTTTTTTTCATGGTATAAAATTTTGAAGGCTCTCAGAGTAACCTGTTTCCCAGAAGTAGCGCTGTTATATATCAGCTGTGAAATAACAGATAATGAGCTCCACTGCAGAAATAAGAAATGATGACCTTGCTACTGCTGAAAACAATAGCATGATAAAGCTGCAACAGATGCAGGCTGTTGTGGGGAATACAGCATTGTATGCACTTCTAAGGGTGCGTTTCAGAAATTGCGTGGTGATTACAAGCTATTGGAGCAAAAATCACACACGTCCTCATTAATAACTCCAGGGCTTACAGTCCATGGTCTGGAATAATAGCTTGCAAAATGTCATTTTGCAAGGCATGCTATGCTTGAATGACAGAAATGCACAAAATTAGCCATGTTTTCTGTTTCAAGACTTGTAAAATATTTACCACCATGGGCAAACTCCTGTGTGTAATGCCTACAGAACAGGCCTTTAAAAACAGCCATTTATAGCTGAAATACCAATAAAAGGCATGCTTCAGTGCGCACTCTGCTGAATACTTGGGTTGACATTAACGTGGAATGAGTGTGTGTGCAGCAAGTATATGAAATTTCAGCCCAAATATTGAAAGATGACTTATTAATGAAAGAGTTAGTTAATCTGCTTGAAAACCTCTGACAACAGAGCAAATACTACTGACTCGCTTATGCGTTGTGGGATTGGAAGAGACATAGAGTTATGTTTCCCATTCCTGGGGCTCTTCCAGACCCTATAGGTGGTTGAAAGGTGTGGATATGTTTTCCAAAAGCTGTCTTTGGAACATTAAACCATTTGGCTTATGCCACCCAGTCTGCCAGGTGCCAGTCACTGTGGCCCAGAACTTGTCTCAATTCCATGTGCACCGTGTCTACTACTTCATGGAGCTGGCTATTTTTTGCAGGGCTATAAAACACTTTTTTGCAAGCTGCTTGAATTTCTTGGTTGTGTCTTGGTTGTGTCACAATCCACAGTCTGAGGACTTAAAACTCTGTCACACAGTAGTATTTTACGTACTAGGGTGTTAGTGATTGACTTAAGTAGAGAATAGTCACCAGGCTTGTAGCTTAACAGCATCCAAATCAATGCACAGCTTTCCCGTAGGATGTTTCCTGTGATAATGCTAAAAATAGGCATTCACAATAGGACCATATAGTGGAATAACATTATATACCTGAAATCCAGGAAAGATGCCATTTCCCCGAGCAAACACATAGAATAGGGCAATCACATTTCATGGGAGAAAGCTTATTCTGGAGGATCAGCTCAAAAAGGAGCAAGATGAGAGTCTTTGTTTCCACCATGAACAGTGTTAATGACTGGTATTTCTGCAGAAGAGAGGGAAATGGAACAAGTGTCTGGGGAGAAGGAGGGAGCATTTCACAGAAACTGGAAGAATTTGCACTATAATTCAGAAGATCTGCCCTTGAGGCAAGATGGTTGTTACTGGTCTGTGTCTGCTTGGCTGTCTTTGTGCTGAGTTTGCAAATTCTTTGGCAGGGGGACTTTGTCTTTGTATGTACAGGTTCTAGCACAGTAAGCCACTGGTCCCAGTGAGATCTCGATGCCAGAATACAAATGGGAGCAGCAATGAAGTGAGGCTGTGCCTTTGCCCTCAGTTCTGAGCTTGAGATGTGTTGTGGTCATCTCTGGAGCCAAGTGACCTTGCTGTTGTTTTTTCCATCAGGTTTTAACCATCAGGTCCTCATTGCTGGTGTGACTGGTGTTGGTGTGTAGTGGCAAGTGCAGAGGTTCAGCAGGAAGGGTGAGAAGCAGCAGAGACTATCTAGGCTGACTGAAGCCCAAAAATTAGATATTTCTAAGATGAAGATACAGGATGTATGTTTGAGATGGGGGGATGAAGGTTTTTTCCTCCTGATTCATTTCCAGCATTTTAATACATTCCTAGTGAAAGACCTCAGGTCTCCTGGTGCTATCTGTACTGTTCAAGGTTTCTCTGAGTTGGTGGCTTGTTGGATATGAACTGATCCCCAGGGCTCTGCCCATGCCCAGGAGCTGCAGAGAGCAGGAGTAAGCAATTGTCAGTTAGAAGCCTGTTTGCATGTGAAGGTGGTTGATCTTTACCACGTTTTGTGGCTAAAACTTTCTGAATTTATTATTTGCAGTCACATCTCACGAAGCAACAGAATGGATTCAAAATCACCTTGAAAACATTAGAGGACAACTTGCTCTCTCGGCTGTCATCAGCATCTGGGAACTTCCTGGGAGACACAGCATTGGTGGAGAACTTGGAGATCACTAAACAGACAGCTGCAGAAATTGAAGAGAAGGTACAAAGACAGTGACAGCCTAGAGAAAAGCATGTGTGTGATGTTATCTTTAAGGATTTCTGGGTGGAATGTAACTTCTTTACTCTGCCCATCTCTGCCCCTTCTGCTGAGTAGAGAATAGAAAGTGGTATAAATTGAAGTGCTCTCCATTCTGGACAGCTTCAAGCCATTTAATTCTTTGGAGCTTTTGTATGTTAAATGGCCTGTTTAAGACCCAGAGAAAACGTCAGTGCCTGATGTAAAGACAATAAAATTTACACTCTGTATCAAGGCAGCTTTAAACTGTTCCATTGTAATCCCGAATACATCACAGTTCCTCAATTAAGCTGGATTTTAGTACTGACCAGGGACTGGAATCTGTTGAGTTTGCGATCTCGAGTAAATCTGCAAGAACTTGGGCATTGCATACCTTTCCATTCCTTAGAGTATAAATCAGTGTTTGTATTAGCTGTGCACTGTCAGCATTGCCACCCACCCAGTTCACCTTGCTGGGGTTAAGAAAGTGCGTGGTGGTTTTGCCCTGCCGCTGAGGGGACTTGAGAAGTGTGGTTGTCATGCCGGGGTTGTGACAGGACCTCTGCGTGGCCCTTCTCAACTGTTTCCCTCCACAGTCCTCCCACCTTCACAGTCTACACTTCTCCTCCTCCAGCCCCAGGCCCATGCTGCCTGGATAAGTTACCCATGTGCTGGGGTTGGGCTGGAGCTGCCTTTTGCTCCCCAGCACTGTAGCCCCAGTGACCTGGAACTAAGTGATCATCCACATTAAAAACTGGAATTATTTCTGCCACCCATTCATGGTAGATCAGATGCATTCTGCTCTCTAAGTAGGGTTTACTTGAACCCCCAAAGGGGATGTTGAAGGGATGTTTTGACATGGCAAGCTTGGCATCTCCCTCTTGAAGCAAGTGTTGTTAAAGTGAGTCAATATCTAAACAAGTTGTGATTTTTAAAGCTGGTCACTGCCACCTCTGTGGCAACAGGGACGAATTTTGGAGTTTTGACCTGGTTTTTGTGAGTTTTGTACCCACGTGGAAAGCTGTCTCAGGGCCCCATTAGACATCTACTTCTCAAGTCAACCCTTACTTTCTTCTTAGACTGTCTATCCAAAGAAAAATGTTCAGCCAACATTTTCCTTCTTATGGAAGTCCTCCCTGCTCTATTTATGGAAAGCAACTGTCTTCCCCACCTCTGTCTTTTATGTTAATAGATTTATTAATTGTTTTGGGTGTGGGATGTCTAAAAGTTAGTTGCCTAAGTCTAAGCTAGACTCTGGGCTCCTTTTATAGTCAGTGGAGAGACATGGATAATGCCAGAAGGGGGACTCATCTGATGTAGACAAGTGATTCATGGCTCGTGCAGATGCTTGTTTCTGCAGTAGATGTTGAAGCTGCTCTTTGGAGGTCTCAGATATTACAGTTCATCATTGCTTATGGAGATGTGCAAACAGGCTAATCCCACAGATCCCAACACGTGTTGGCTGCACACCACAGATTAAGGCTCAGTCTGTGCTTTGTTGGGAAGGTTTGATGTGCCTCAGCCAGATGTGCTCACACCAGCTCATGTTGTCGCAGAGGGAGACCCAGTGGGTGCATTTCGTGGGGACTGTGTCATGCTCTGCTGGCTTGTCCAACGTGCTGAGCTCCTTTCTGCAGCATCCCCATTCCATGGTTTGCTGAGCTAGCTGGATCAGCACTGGCTTGGCACCCTGTGGCTGTGCTGCAAGACACTTCTGACTGTACATAGCCAGAGCCTAAAATAGTCCCTGAGAGGCCTGAGGATGTCACTTTATGCTGCTGAAGTGGAATGAAAGAATGAACAGGACTGAGACAACAATGGGGTGATGTATCTGCCAAAAGCATTTTCACCAGGTCCATCAGAGCAGCTATGCAGACACCTGGCCAGCAAGTTAGGGGTGTGTTAAATGCTGGTGAGGAAGAGCAGCAAATAGCTGTAATAAATTAGCAGTTCTCAGCATTGGAGGAAGCTGCCACAAGAGCAGCAATAAGTCTGTTCAGCCCTGTGTTATTAATCACCTGCACAGGAGGGGGGCAATTAGCAGGAGAAACTCATTGATGAGAAAAACAATTCCAGTTAGTAAAGAGCAGGGATCCCAGTGAGAAGCCTGGAGGGGGCTCGGGAAAACAGAGGACTGGGCAAGAGGGTGGTAAATGCAGTTAAATGGAGAATATGCCGGGGAGGGTGGGGGGATGCTGGGAGCGGGCAGCTCAAGCCTCGCTGCACCATGATTCAGGAGGCGGAGGCTGGTCCCTGCAGCAGTCGGATGCAGTTGCTCACTGCTTGGCCTAAGGTCTTTGTGGCAGATGTCAGCCTTCCCCTTGGCTGCATACTCAATTCACAAAGATATTTTCACACTAAGTTTGTTCTGTGTTTTCCTCCCAGGTCCAGGAGTCTAAGGTGACAGAAACCAAGATTAACGAGGCCAGAGAGCACTACAGGCCTGCCGCCGCACGTGCCTCTCTGCTGTACTTTACCATGAACAACCTCCATGCCGTCCATCCCATGTACCAGTTCTCTCTGAAGGTACTGTCCCCATGAGCTGTGGACCGAGCCCACAGCTGTGAGAGGCAGTGTCGCTGCTTCTCTCTTACCGAGATTCAAAGGCATCATCTTGGGCCTCTTAGGGATATTTGAATGCCCAGGCAAAAAGGTGATCTAACCTAACCCATTCTGCTGCTTTGGTTTTATGGAGAAGTTTCCTGCAATTTATTTCACACAATGACAGACTGGTAGGGGTTGGAAGGGGCCTCTGGAGATCGTCTAGTGCAACCCCTTGCCAAAGCAGGATCACCTCAAGCAGGTTGCACAGGATCACGTCCAGGCAGGTTTTGAATCTCTCCAGAGAAGGAGACTCCACAGCCTCTCTGGGCAGCCTGTTCCAGTGCTCGGTCACCCTCAATGTAAAGAAGTTTTCCCTCATATTGAGATGGAACTTCCTGTGTTCCAGTTTGTGCCCGTTGCCCCTTGTCCTGTCACTGGGCACCACTGAAAGGAGTCTGGCCCCATCCTCTAGACACCCACCCTTTAGATATTGATAAGTATTGATCAGATCCCCTCTCAGTCTTCTCTTCTCCAGACTAAACAGCCCCAGCTCTCTCAGCCTTTCCTCATACCAGAGATGCTCCAGTCCCCTCATCATCTTTGTAGCCCTCTACTGAACTCTCTCCAGTAGTTCCCTGTCTGTCTTGAACTGGGGAGTCCAAAACTAGTCACAGAACTCTAGATATGGCCTCACCAGGGCAGAGCAGAGGGGGAGGAGAACCTCTCTTGACCTGCTGGCCGTGCTTTTCTTCATGCACCCCAGGTACCATTGGCCTTCTTGGCCATGAGGGCACACTGCTGGTCACGGAGAGCTTGTTGTCCACCAGAACTCCCAGGTCCTTCTTCACAGCGCTGCTTCCCAGCCAGTCAACCCCTAACCTCTACTGGTGCTTGGGGTTACTCCTCCCTGGGTGCAGGACCCTACACTTGCCCTTGTTGAACTCTGTTTCTTTATAAGTCAACTTAACATACATAGGTCTTAACTTGTGTTGTGATAGTGTTTGTTGCGAAAGATTTGTCCCAAACTCACTGCAAATGCTGAGCAGAGCGTGTTCATCACTGCCCTTGGTGGAAGGAGCAGTTTCAGCAGCACCTGCAAAGACCCAGTGAGGAGTGGTCTGAATGCCACAAGAAAAGGTCTCTCTGTGTTGAGTACTGAGTTTAGGCCAGGGTCCCTACTCAGCTCTGAACTTGCCAGTCAGCCCACCACAGGTGGTCAGGTTGGGATCAGGTTAGATGAGCCTTACTTAGCTTTTCTTTCTTTTACTTGGTTTCTCTCTAAGCGGTTGAAGTCTTATGGAACAGTCTGACTTAGTGATGCATTAACATCTTCTATTACTAAAAATCCAGGAAGTTTCTTTGCAAACAGAACCTTACAAGCCATTTGTTCTTCCTTGCATATTCACAGCCTTGGGCTGCAGAACAAGATGAGCAATAGATTTAAATGATATTGTATGGGGAAAGAGCCAACAAAGTACGTTTTTCTATGTATTTTATATATTTATGCACAGAGATTTTGTACAGCATTTGGAGTAACTTGCTCCATCAGTTAGTGTTTTCTTTATATTTACATTGATTCTGTATCTGTGATGTCATCAAGGTCATAATGCCTGTGCAGATGTTTCATAAGTTAACAGGAATTGCCACAGCCTTTGACAATTATCCAAGACCTTGATGCTGAGACAATCCTGACTTCCCAAATGACACAGTATTAAAACATTGCATCACTCTAAACACAGTCCTGTCCCACTGAGATCACATCACCAGGGATTTATTGCTACCTTCTGTACAAAAGGCAAGTCATTCCTACTTCCATTTCTACAATGCAAGGAGGGTCCCAAGCAGCTGGGCTTTCAGGAGCTTGGATGCTTCCTACATTACAGTTACAACAAGCCTTTCAGGTAGTCAGCAGCATGGTGTGAAATCTAACTTTGAGTTAGTGTCTGTGTGTGGTTGGTGTGAAGGAATAGGTAGCACGTGCACGACTTGAATGTTCACCGCCTTTTTGCATGGACCCGCACACACGCTTATCTACAGTCTGGAGTTCTTTGGAGGGCTGTGTTTCTGCTCTTTTCACAATGTTGTGTGGCCATCAGATAGACAAGCAAGCCTACAGCCTAAAATGTCCTTAGACTAGAAGTCCAGATGGGATTTGTGGATATGTTACCACTTTGCAGTGTGGCTGCTGGCAATCTCAGTTGCAGGCATGCTCATGATGGCAGTAGAACATCCCAATGGGGACCATGCTGGGAGAGAGACACTTCTTGCCCTGTGCTCCTAAAATGAATGTAAAAGAGACATATAGCCAAGCGTCTGTGCTCCAAAGGCCTTGCTACTTTTCTGTCTTGTCTAAATAGACTACCCTTCCCTGCATAGCAAGTGTAGCTCTGTAGTGAACGGACATGTTACATGGAGAACTAGGAATAATGTCCCTCCTTTGGAAAACATTCCCACCTGGAGCTGTTCTCACCAGAACACCTGGAGAACATTTCCAACATGACACATTGACTTCAATGTAATTAGTATTAATCATAGTGATGGAACTGGACCATCCCACCTGCCATGTGGCCACAGAGCCCAGTAGGAACTCGGCAGCTTTTGTAGGAATGAGAGCATGGCCATGTTTTCCAAGTTTCTTGAGTATCTTTGAGATACCAGTGCTTCTCTTTATGGCAAGTGTGAATAGACTAAGACTCCACTTGCCACAATGGAGGAGCGAGATCTTTAGAACAAAATACATGACTAGTAGCGAATTCATAGTTCATGTCTTTGCTTCATGTTTGGGCATCACTTAATCCGTTGTTTTCTGTTCCTTGACGGGTAGGAAGTGGGGTTTCTTTCAAGCCATCGCCTCTATCTTTGAAGCTGCTTAGGCAGAGGTCCCCTCTTTCTCTGCTCTCCATGTGCTACCCAAGACACCAGGGAAGTCTTGGTCCCTGCGCAGCTTCTGAACACCTGCTGCAGTAAAAACAACAGTGCAGACAATCCCTTGCCTTGGCAGAGTAGTCTCAATAGGCCTGGCCAGTAGAGACCCAACAGCGTTTTGGGATATTTATTGAAGAGTTCTGATTTTAATGTTTTAATAAATGGAAGACCTTTTTGTATCACAGGAGATGATGGGGAATGGAGGGTTCAGTGAGACGGCATCCTAGTCTAGAACTTCTTCCAAATGATTTCTTACCTTAACAAGTGACCTGGAAAAAGTAATTGAGCAGAGAATACAATATTTTGAACCTCATCCACAAAGAAACTTTTCTTCTTGATATGTACGACTCATGTTGAAATAATTTTACCAGGAAAAGGTACAGAATATCTTTTGTGCAAGGGTGCCCTTTGAAAGATTCATTCCTTACACATACATAATAGATACCGGAGTTTCTGAGGTTTCACCTTTAATCTGCGTCTTCTGTATTTTGTTTGTTTTATGTTTTCCAGTTAACATTAGCAATGTGTATAAATACATAGAAAATTATTGGATGAAATGTTTTTATGTAATAAATTTTGATGACAGATCATAAAACATTGTGTAAAGATGCACAGAGATTATTTTAAAATACTTACCACACAGCTAGAAGCCCATTATAAATTAGAGCACACAAGATTTATATGCTACTCTGCAGCATGTTTTAGCACAATTTAAAGAAATGTTAAGCAGGAAAATGCATTCTGAGATTATTTAATAATGCAGTAGGTATCAATGTTACTTTAATTTGTTGAGGCATCGTTTTTCCTTTGTAGAACCCTAAAAATAATGCTGCCAACACAGTCATGCCTTGAACATGCTATTAATTTGTATTGGCCTGGTTATTTCCTATTAGCTGAGCCCCAGTGTATGGAGTCTTTGCATTGCTAGTCAGGATTTAGGCTTTTTTTTTCTTTTTTTCTTTTTTTTTTTCTTTTTCTTTTTCCAATTGCATTTGATAATTTGCTAATGGGTTTTCTTCGAACGGCTCTGAAAGTTTTGTGTCTTTTCTCATTTAGATCAGAAATGTTGTTACAAGAATCCTTAGTATCTTATATAAGAGCATCATTCTCGATGCATGCACGCATCCCCGAGGGGAATTTACTGACTGGTTAATCCCACTTCCACAAGATGAAGTTCTACCTGTCCTTCTCATCTAGTCCTTTGCTGAATCCAGACAGTAAAATACTCATGGGCCTTTTTTTTTTGTATTTAGGGGAATTACTTTTTTTCTAAATTGAAACATTTGTGAAATGGGAGCCATGCTTCTCTCTGGGAACACCACTGTCTTTTGGTTCAACATTTGCAGAGAAAGTGGACTGTGTAATCCCTGTGAGAGAACATGTTTGATCAGAAAAGTGTTTCCTTTATCCATTGTGTCTTAATTCAGTCAGCCAGTCTCTGCACTACTTTCTCTAGCCCAAGAGAGCACAGTGTCACAGGGAATGTCATCATTGCCCGGCTGTTCCTGAAAAAGCAGCTAAAGGCAGATACAGGGTCTGGTCTCTAGATATGTGCTCCAGATGACCCAGCAATGTGCGCTTGCAGCCCAAAAAGCCAACCATGTCCTGGGCTGCATCCAAAGCAGCATGACCAGCAGGCCCAGGGCGGGGATTCTGCCCCTCTGCTCCACTCTGGTGAGACCCCAGCTGCAGTGCTGCATCCAGCTCTGGGGTCCCCAAGACAAGAAGGACATGGAGCTGTTGGAGTGAGTCCAGAGGAGGCCAGGAAGATGATCGGAGGGCTGGAGCACCTCTCCTGTGAGGACAGGCTGAGAGAGTTGGGGTTGTTCAGCCTGGAGAAGAGAAGGCTCCAGGGAGACCTTAGAGCCCCTTCCAGTCCCTGAAGGGGCTACAGGAAAGCTGGAGTGGGACTGGTGACAAGGGCAGGGAGTGACAGGACAAGGAGAATGGCCTGAAGCTGCAGGAGGGGAGATGGAGATGGGATGTGAGGCAGAAAGTGAGCCCTCGCATAGGTTGCCCAGAGAAGCTGTGGCTGCTCCTGGCTCCCTGGCAGTGTTCAAGGCCACGTTGGATGGGGCTTTGGGCAACCTGGGCTAGTGGAGGGTGTCCCTGCCCATGGCAGAGGGGTTGGAACTAGATGATCTTTAAGGTCCCTTCCAGCCTAAACCAGTCTGGGATTCTATGTGTTCCCGTGCCTTCCGGAGCTGGTGGATCACAATGCTGGGCAGATGGGAATGCTTTTTTTGTGGCCCCAGAGATACAGTATCTGAGTTGGCCTCACTTACTGCAATACTTCATGTGATACCCAGGAGCATGCAAAGAGCATCTAGAAACCACTGATGTCCTTCTGTGTCTCCCCACGTAGGCGTTCAGCATTGTGTTTCAGAAAGCCATTGAGAGGGCACCTCCAGATGAGAACCTCGCAGTGCGTGTGCTGAACCTCATCGACAGCATTACCTTCTCCGTGTTCCAGTACACAACTCGGGGGCTGTTTGAATGTGATAAATTGACCTACACTGCTCAAGTTACCTTCCAGGTAAACATCACCATTTCATGCAATTCGTATGCAATGATTTATTTTATAGGCAAAGATATTGGCATGCAGAGAAAGCTCAAACTGTCACAGCTGTGGCCTTCAGCATCAGAGCAGCAAATACAAGGGCTGGGGAACTGATTTTCTTCTCTGCCTCTCTTGCTGATAACAGTCACAGATGCTGTGTTTGATTTGCATTACGCTGACAAATGGTTGTTTGAGAGAGTAATACCTGCTTGCAGGACCTGAAAAAAAGGGGCAAAGCAAGTTGGTCTTGAAGCTGTATTGGTTTTAGCCAAAAAAAAATGCTAGCTACAAAGCTGCTGTCATTTATCTTGTATGGTAGTATAATTTTTAGTCTACGATTTGAGGAAGGAGACCTTTGTATATCCCTATGCTGAAATCAAACACAATCAATAAATAGTGCTTGGCATGATGTTGGAAAGTTGCTGTTAAGTTTGTTCAGTGAATGACTGTAAATGCCCTGACATGTAGAATGTAGATATGAACCAAGTTTGAACTGGTGAAACACTGTGCAGGTCTAGTTAACCTTGTTCCAGCGATTGCCATGATATTTTAAATGCTACATAACAAAATACTATGTCAAAGGGAAAGTAAGTATATATACACACACTTATATATATACACATGTATAAAAAGTTGACTCTAACAATATATTTACTTAATAAATTGTCTGTGTGTAAAAAGACAGCTTACATTTTGCAATGTCAGCCTCAATTCTGACCCAAAGGATACCTATATTTTCATAGAATCATAGAATGGTTTGGGTTGGA